AGACTAACAAACAGGATCTTAGAATACTAACTTAAATTACTTAGAATGTAATTGGTCTAAATTTGCAATTTTGTTTTTATTTTCTTTTGAGCTGAACATAGGAAACCTAGTAAATGAAGCCCAGAGCTAACATACGTTAAAATTCAGATTAGCCATTTCTACAATGGCAATGTTAAAAGATAATTTTCAAAAAGAGGTAAAATTATAGCACTCATTAAATATAAAACGGACACATTTTATATTTAGTAAGGATTTTATTTAACTCATCGTCAATGAGGAAACCAGGCAAATGTTAAAACTGATTCAAAGGAGAAATGAAAGAAATAAAAATGAATATGGAGAAAAGATGTGTTGAAATTAACTTAAAAATGGACATGAAACAAACTGGCTTTTTCCACAGTCAAGGGGAGGGCATAGTTGAACCTCCACTGCACCAGAATGTGTGCTGTCTATAGTTAAGAATTATTTTGCATTGCTATCAGTTATCCGTAATTTACAGACCTATGAAATAGCTCAAAAGCCTTGAAGGCTAAACAATATTCTAAACCAAGTTTCATTTTCCAAGGAGTTACTCCATGATTTTTTTTTTTTTTTGGCTTATTCTTAATTTCCTTATAATAATAAAGAAATTTCTAAAATTTGCTACAGAATAATTCGTAGATGATCTCTCCCTTTACAATGCCTCGTGCTGCTACAAAATATTGATTGTATTCTAATATTCTTTCGTGGGAATATTGTATACATTCAATATACCTGTGCAAATGCAGGATTTACTTATAAATGTGGCTAGGGAGCAAGGCTGTGGGGTAGGGTGGCTGTTTAAACCAGGTGTTCAGAGGGGCTCTCCGAGGCGCCCTCAGGTTAGAGACCAAAACGAAGTGAGGACTGACTTAGGCGTCCCCCACCACCCCCCGATCCCGGCCTTGAGTCCCCCAGGAGGGGAGCCGCCTTCGAGACTCCTTAGAGACTGTGGTAACGTATCTTCTCAGCCTCTAATCTCAGTTCTTTTTCACTCATTCCCCCTTCCAGTTCTGTTTTGTTTTTTTTTCATTTGTTCCTACTGTAAGCAAATTCAAATCCTTTTTAGAAAAATGAGAGGAAAACAAATTATAGACTTACTTCAGTTAGCAAGTTGCATCTTTTAAAAGGTGCAATTACACGAAACTCTTAAGGAGTATTGTATAATCACGCCTTATGATGGATTTGTTTAGATAGCTTGCTTTCTTTGTAATACCTGTTACAGTTTCTTTGCACTAAGGCATTCAGAGATTTTCAGCACAGTTCATCAGAAAGAGCTCAGATTTTATAGGCAGAAGATTCCGCGTTCAGATTCTGCCTGGTCATCAGATTCTGGGGAAGCCACTTGACCCCTAGAGTCTAACCTTACCCACTTTATGGCGTTTTGTGAGGAGCAGATGTTTGGAATATGTGTTTAATAGGTTTATTGAACAGATAGCTAAAAAGCGAGGAAAGATGGGGGATTCCATTTAAAAATGTGGAAAATCAAATGAAAACAACAGGGATTTTTCTTTCTGAAGAGGTTAAAAATATTTCCCTAATAATATTCTCTTGGCCAACGTGTGATTTAGAAGGTGAGAGTCTTCAGCACGTAAACCACGCAAGCAGAGACTGCAGAGAAAGGAGAGGCGGCCCAGGCTTCCAGCACACAGGGCAGTGATGCCCCACCAGCGACCCAGGAGGATGGGGGGTGGGCACATGTGGAGTGACGTGCAGGCTCCTTGCTTGCACTTCTGGGGTGTGCCATTCCCTGACGAAGGGGACCCTGGAAGAAGACCAAGTTTGGGTCAGATGATTATGAGCTTGGTACAGGACGTGCTTGACGGAGACTAGAGGAAGAGCAGAGGAGGGAGGGAGGTGTGCCAGGCAGAGGAGACAGCACATGCAGCCTGCGGCGGGCGGAGCTGGGGGCCTGTTCACCAAGTCGACGACCTGCGGCTGAAACAGAAAGGCGGGGAGGCAGATGACAGGATGAGGGACCCAGTTACAAGCCAGACCTAGCAGCACCTCATGGATGGCATTAAAACTTTTGGCCTTGATCCTGAAAGCGCGGTGGAGGCGGAGTGATTGGACTTGTCATTTGGAAGGCTCACTGTGGCTGCAGTGTGGTCAGGAGCTTCTGGGGAGCTAAGGGACGGGCGCAGGAACACTTAGGAAACTTCTGGAACAGCCAAGGCAAGAGACGTTGTTAGATGGTTCTGGGCTTAGGGCAGGGGACGTAAATACTTAGCAGGTGAAATGAAGCGGACGGTGCCGAGCCGGAGAGGGGGGTGTCAGGGCCCCCGCTCCGGCCCCGGGCCCACGGC